TACGAATCACGTAAAAAAAAAAAAAATTTTTTTTTCTTTTCCTTTTTTTTTTCTTTTTTTTAAATATTTATTTAGCCGCCTCGAAAACATTATTATTATTATTATTATCATTATTATTATTATCATCTAACTAGTTCGTCCTATTTAACTTTAATTAAAAAAATTAATGATTCTCGCCTCGCGATATCATCATCATCATCATTATAATAATTTTAACACTTACAAACGCGTTCACTGATTTTTCCCTCTCCCCCTCCCAAGCTCCCCAATTAATTAATTATTATTTATTAATTATACACACAGACACACACACACACGGTAATAATTGTTAATAAATTATTATTATTATTATTATTATTATGTTTTGTAAAATACAAATTATTATTTTTTTATTTCAATCAATGAACCAATCAATCGTTTAACAAAAAAAAAAAATTTCAATTATTATAATTAATATCAACATCATCATCGTTATTATTATTATTATTATCATTATTATCATTATTATCATTATTATTATTATTAATACTCGTTTGAAAGAAATCAATCAAGTGACTTAAAAAAAAGAGAGAAAAAATGTTTTAATGACAATATTATTATTATAGCGTTTCGCTATTATTATTATTATTATTATTATTATTATTATTATCAAATATAATGATAATAGTTTGTGAGTGAGACCACGTGACATTATTTAAATAAAAAAAACGGCAAATTATTCATTAGTCTAACTGTTATTACGAATAATAATATTATTTAAAAAAATTAAAGTAACTCGAGTTTTTTTTTTTTTTTAAATTTTTCTCCTCTTGACGTCACCATCATCATCAACATCATTATTATTATTATTATTATTAAAACGACCGTTAAGTTTAAATAAAATTGTTTGTATAAATTCTCCAAAAAAAAAAAAAACGGAAATCACTCACTCACTCACTACGACTTGAAATTTTTTTTTTTGTACCCTATAACATCTCCTCGCTTTCTCCTTAATTAAAATTATTATTATTATTATTATCATTATCATTATTATCATTATTATTATTACCATTATTAACTTAATTACAGTTACGCAAGGTAAGAAAAAAAAAAATGAGATGAAATTATGTAGAGACGAGTCGTACACCTAAAAAATGGCTTTCTTTCGTCACGATTTTACGTCATCATCAAAATTGTATGCTTACAATAATAATAATAATAATAATAATTAATAATTAATAATTAATTAATAATATTAATAATGGTGATGATGATGATGATGATAATTAGGCGTGAGCGATAAAAACGCACACGTTCACGCACGTATTTAAAAATCTACACGTGTAAAAAAAAAAAATTGTAGTAATAATAATAATAATAATAATAATAATAATAATCAAACGTGAGATTTGCATCCTTACATAAATTTTCAAACTAAAATTAAAAAATAATGATAATGATAATAATAGTAATAAAAGTATTACGACTAATAATAATAATAATAATAATAATAATAATAATAAAACTACAAAATTTTATTTATAACTAAAACTAATAATAATAATATTATTATCACCGCTAATTGTTTCTCTTTTTTCCTTTCTCCCTTCATCTCTCCCTCCCTCTCTCCCTTCTTTTACCCTCCCCCCAATTTCATCTCGAATTTTATTTATTTTTAAACGAATAAAATAATGATGATGATGATGATGATAAATATAAATAGCGACAGGCACAATTTTGTTATTTAAAAAAGAACGAACCCTACGAATTATTATTATTATTATTAATATCGATATTATTATTATTCGTAATGTTAATGATAACTTTAAAATTTTATAAATAATAATAATAATGATAATAATAATAATATTATTATTAAATAAATTACAAAAAGGCGAATATGATAATAATTTTAAAAAGAAAAATCAGAAGAAAATTTTTTTTTCCACGTCATTAATCATCATCATCATCATTATTATTATTAGTAATATTATTATTATTATTATTATTATTATTATTATTATTATTATTATTATTACATCAGTCGATATCTAATAATATTCTAATTTAAAAAACAAAAAAAAGAAAAGTTTATGTCCAGCACATTTATATCCGGCATAATAATTATTCATTCATTCATTCATTCATTCAATCGTGTATGCACAAGAGATAGAGAGAGAGAGAGAGAGAGAATTACTTTAATTATTTTATTATTATTATTTAAAATAAAAATAATTTTTTTTTAAAGGTTTATTAAGGCTAATTATAAAACTTATCGTTTCATTGTATTTAAAAAAAAAAAAAAAAATTTAAATAAAAATTACATTTAAAAAAAAAAAAAAAAACGTTTTTACAGCCATAGAGTAAATAAACGTACATAAACAGATAGATAGATAGAGATAAATTAAAAAAAAATTATACTTTATGAAAAAAAATCAAATCAAATTCAATTCATTTCTTTTACATAATAAATAAATAAATTTCATTTTTTTATTTAAATTTAAATTTCAAATTTTGACGACGATCAAAAAACGTTTTTTTTTTTTTATATAAAAAACAATGATAATGATAATAATAAAATCATCATCATCATCATCATCATCATCGTGTTATCACGTTATCACCAAACATTCACTTATACATATACACTCGCGTATTGTGTGTGTGTGTGTGTATTAAATACAAGAGCTTTAAAAAGAACATAATCGCACATATTTTACTTATACGATCCTATACATTCTTATTTTTCCTTATTTCCTTTTTCCCGTTATTATATTTTCACAACAAAAACAACAAACAACAAATAACAATTATTATATCGATTTAATCGATATATCGATCCATCGATACATCGATCTATCACCGCATTTCAAAACATTTCCGACATTACAAAAAAACGACAGTAATAATAATAATAATAATAATGATGAAACGTTTTAAAAAGCTCTTGTAGGTGTATATAAGAACGCGAGCGTACATATCCTTTTTGAAAATTTTTTTTTTTTAAACGGATTTCCAAACGCAAAAAAAAACTTATAATTATTATTATTATTATTATTATTATTTTATTTTATTTTACAACAAGAAAGAAAGCAAAACGATGAATTCAAGGGAAAATCAATAAAAAAAAAAAAAACCGTTAAAAATAAAAAATTAAATTTAAAAAAAAAAAAAAAAAAATTCTGTTTTTTTTCTAATCGAAATCCCCCCGGGCACGCAAATTGTATATATATATATATTGTAACCGTTTTTTAGAAAAAAATTTATTATTATTATTATTAACATCATCATCATCATCATCATCATCATTCTAAAAAAAAAAAAAAAAATTTTTTCTTCTTACCACCCTATATATATATAAAAACGCAAAGGACGAGATCAAAATTAAGAATATATATATATTATGTTATTATTATTATTATTTGGAAAAGAGGATAGAAAGAGATAGAGTGAGATAGAGAGAGAGAGAGAGAGAGAGAGAGAGAAAATTGCATTTTAAAAAAAAAAAAAAAAACAAAATAATAAGGGGGAAAACAAAGCAAAATCAAAAAATTCCGTAAAAAAAAATTATTTTTTTAGAAAAAAAAAAAAAATTAAACCATCGACAAATTATTTTTTCCGGGATGCACACGCACACCCCCCCCCACACAAATAGGGTGCGTGTACGTGCGTGACAAATATTACATTTATTTATACATCCGCACATATATATATCGTGCACGCACACGCACACGCACATCGAATTAAAAAAAATTTATATATATATATATATATGCGGTAAAGATGAATGCGCGTGCATCCATCATGTGACAGACAGACAGACAGGCAAACAAACAAACAAACAATCGCACCGTACGCACGCACACGCACACACACACACACACACACACACACACACACACGCTCTCATTCATTTTTTTTCTTTTTTTCAATTTTTTTTTTTTTAATTTTTTTTTTTTTAAATATTTTTAATTTTTTTTTTTTTGTATTTTGCCGAACGTTACACATTTTTATCAAAAAAAACAAAAACAAAAAAAAAAAAAACTAATTCGAAAAAACAGTCTTTTCCTTATTCATATTCATATTATTATTATCATCATTATCATTATCATTATTATTAATTATTATTTATCTAATTAAACGACAATAATAATAATAATAATAAAAAAATAGTAAAAAAAAAAAATCAATCAATCAATCAATAATAAAAATTACAAAAAAAAAAAAAATTTTTTCACTTTTATCATTATTATTATTATTACTCGCAATTAATGTTATATTAAATTGTTTTGTTTTGTTAATTAATTAATTAAATTAATATAATTACACAATTAATAGTTATTATTATTATTATTATTATTACTCGTAAAATTAAATTTTCTTATTTAAAATAGCATACATGGTAGGTATTTAACGACTGTGAGAGAAAAAAACCATTGTTTACATTTAACACGTGTATAAGAGAGAGAAAGAAAGAGAAAGAGAGTGAGAGACAGATAGTGAGAGAGAGAGAGAAAAGGTTCAAAGGTTAACTTTTTCTTTTTTCATTTCTTTTTTTTTTCTGAAGTCTTTTCGAATACATAATACATCTCTCAAAATGAAAATTTTCCTAATTTACAAAAAAAAAAAAAAAAAAAAAAAAATTAAAAAAATTAACTAAAAAGTTTACTTGTTTGCTTGTTTGTTTGTTTGTTTGTTTGCTTGTGTTGTTTCTCCCCCGTGTGTTTTCTTTTTAGTAATTTTTATTGTTTATTATTATTAACTTTTTAAATAGTTCATATAGAATTCGTCTTTTTACTTTTTATTTTATTTTTTATTTTATTTTATTTTAATTATTTATTTATTTATTATTATTATTATTATTATCATTATTATCATCATCATTTTTTTTTTTTTTCATACTCAATTTTATTACATATTTTTTTGTTATTTTTTTTTAATATTTTTTTTCGATTTTTTTTTGCTTGTTTTTGTTTTTTTTTTTTTTTATATGTGTTTAATTGGTAATATAATATAAGAGACTAGCGACGTGGTGTGAAATTTGATCGTTGATTAGGGGGAGGTCCTCTAGAATCACGATTGAAATTTCCACGGGCACCTCCACCCCTTGAGCCCCGTGTGGAAGGTCCACCGCGTGGAGGAGCTCTACCGGCCGACCAATTAGACTCGCTACCTCCTGCATTTCCTCCTCCTCCTCCTCCGCCACCGCCACCGCCTCCTCCTGCGTTGTTGCTCCCGCCTCCTCCGCCGCCGCCACCTCCGGCAGTTCCTTGCGAGGGAAGAGATGATCTAGGCTTTGTTTTCTTTTCTTCTACGTTTAATTTGACACCACCCTCTTTCGGAAAGTAAATGGGCTGAAATGAGAGAGAGGGAAATGAACGGTTTTTTTTTTTTTTCGTTTCATTTTAAATTAACGTGAACGACAATTAAAATTGACAAAAACCTTATTGTTAAGTACGTCTTGAACAGATTGCGGATGTTCAAAAGTGATAAAACCGTAATTGGGCACCCGATTACCAGGAGGTCCTTTTGTGCTTGTATTCGTTTTACTGTGAATTCTTAGATCGACTATGTTTCCAAATTTACTGAAAATTTCCTGGAAAAATTTCCCCCCGATTATTAGTAAAAACTAATAAAGCAAAAAGCGACAACACTAATAATAATAATAATAATAATAAATCATGACTAACTCTGAGGTCTTCTTCGGTCGCGTCTAAAGGTAGGTTTCCCATAAAAAGTTGGTGATTATCATTGTATTGCACCGGGTTTCTCCTCCTTTCCTGCATATCCGTCGCATTTGTACCCATAATCCCTCCTCCGTCTTCGTTAAAACTCGTTCTAGAAGGTCCGCTGCTCCTTTCCTTTCTATTGTTTCCCCTGGTGGGACCTCCTCGAACCGGAGCTCTGGGCGGACGGCCTTGCTGAGGACTTTCTTCGAGACGCGGTCCGGATCCGGATATGGTGTTGAATATCGGAATCGAACGATTTACAACGGTTGTTCCCGATGAACCCGTCAATCCGGATCCCATACGATCCATTTTTAAAAGGTTGGCATACGTCTTTGGTTCATTTGCTGAAAAAAAAAAAAGAAAACAATAATTCTTTGTTTATCTTTTTAAGTGAACCTAAACCTTTTTTTTTCGCTTTTATTACTTACAAACTTCGGTAGTGATATTCATGTTTTGAATTTCCCCAGTAAAAGTTTCACTTTCGTTTTGAGATGTTTCCTGTTCGACTTGGCCAGTAACTTCGGAATCTACTTTGCCGGACACTGAAAAAAAAAAAAACAAATGTTTTTAAAATCCATGAAAATTTATTACTACCGAGATTAAAACCTAGAATAAATACCTGTGCGGTTAACTTTGTTATCCTTGGGTGATTTATTTTCGGATTGCCCAGATCCTTGCGATGCCAACATGTAATCATCATTGACGATGTTCATGTCGACGGCGACGACGCGACCATTGATTACGGGTGTGGGTTCCTGTACGGGAGGCACGATCGGAGTTTGCCCTGATTGAAGGTTTTCATTATGAAGAGCATTACCATTGAGTGAAACGCTTTGCGCTGCTCCAGGATTGGGTACCATGGGAGTTTCAACTGGGCCGGAAGTGCTGGTGTTAAAATATTGAATTCCACCCGGAGCTTGACTCTAAAATAAAATAGAAAAACATTTGAAACGTTCAACTTTTTGGACACACACAAACGATGATACTGATGATAATAATAATTACATCAGGTTGAACTTCTTGCGGCGGATCTGTGTCTTCTTCTCTCGATTGAGACTCGCCTTCTTCATCACTTAAAAGCATGTCTTGATAACGAAAAATGTCATTATGAACATAATACATTCTAGGGCTGTGAGTACCAAGAACAAAAGTTTGGGTAAACCGACGCATGGGTTCCCCATCGTTTGACAATTCGCCAGAAACCTGAAAAATAATTATAAAATGTTTTATAATAATAATAATAAATAATTAAATTTTGTTTTGTTTTCAGGTGTTGCTCACCTGGACAACCAAACCATTCCCGAGAGTCGCTTGAGAATCCACCTGGCTAATTTTGGCGTGACAATCCCTGAAATTTAGCTGCTGAATTTTTTGATGGATCTGCTTTTGACCGATAGCTGGTTTCGACATTGCTCCGTGTACGAAATAAGAATTACTGTTGTAAAAACGATGAGCGTGAGTTGGAGCACGATTTAGCAAAGTATAATATTGTCGAACAAATTCTCGACCCACAGCGTCCGGGCTTGGTATGGCTTCCATGACCATGACTATCTTCTGAAACCCGAAAAAAAATTTAAAATTTTATTTACATGTTATCCCGGACAAATGTTGTCCATTTTTTCAAAATTGTTCAATCAATCAAATGATATCATGTGTTAATAAAACAAAAAAAAAAAAAAAAAAAAAAATCTTTTCTTTTTTTTGTTTTCATTATTTATTTTTAACTTCCTTTTTTTTTTTTTTTTTTTTTTATGTTACCAATTTATTTTATTACTTCACGCTTAATTTCTTGCTAAATAATTAAAAAATTTTCATTTCACAATCATTAAATCTCATAAAATTTATTTTTAAAAACAAAATTAAATTAGTGCAACATTTATAAAAATCCAACACAGTTAGTAAATAAAAACTTCTCCAAGATGAGATCTGAGGAGGGGGAAAAAAAAAAAAGGTAAAAACAAAGGAAATGTAAATGAATATGAATATTATATGGGGGGGGGGGAGAGAGAGAGAGAAACTCCATTCGATTTAATTTTTATAAAAATTCAGTTTTAAATAATTAATCGATTCATTTTTAAGAATCTCGAATAAATATTGCATTATTAGTTTTTGACTCGAATGTTACAGTAAAGTTTTCTTTTTCCACCCCCACCCCCACCCCCACTCCTCATAAGCGAAGAAAATATATTTATTAGTACAACATGAATAATGAAAGTGCAAATCAAAATATTAATTGCGTGAATGCATCAGTGCATTTTGCAACTCCTTTACATGTAAATTAGAGATTCGATGAAGAAAATTATCACACATCTAAAAATGGGGGGGGGGGAAAAGCAACCTATACATTATTCTTTTCTTATTTGTTTGCACAATCAAATTGAAATTTAAACACACACACACACACACTCATACTCACAACACTATAATAAAAAAAAGAAACAACTGTTTCAAATAAAGAATTGTTCTCGACAACGACAAAAATGTTTAATTTAAAAATGATCGTTTTCTACAAAGTGTACATGAAAACAAACTGGTTTTTTTTTGTTGTGTGTGTGTGTTAAAATTTATTAATCAACTGTGTAACAAATAGTGTGCAAATGGTACTACTATTTAAAATATAAAACATGAAACAAATTAAATAATTTGACTATACAAAGAATATTTTTTATTCGTGTCGTTATTACACAGCCACAGCACAAAATTTAATTTCTTTTGTAACAAAACATAAAAAAAAAATATTCAAAATAATAATAATAATGATGTTTGAGACTAATGGAATAAAATTTACACAATTTTAGGCAAATTACTTTTGGCAAATTTTAATTATTATTATGATTCATATATATAAATATGAAACAACTGAAACCTAACAAACATCACCTAAAACAATTTTAATATGGTTAATAGAAAATAATTATTAATGTTTAAGTATTCATACACAAATAATATATATATAAAAACCGAAAATAACAATCATATTAATGAATAAAAAATTTCATCTGAATATTTAAAAAAATTTAAATAAAAGGTTTTTTTTTTTTTTTTCAAGGTTGTTTGTGAGTTTTATTTTCTTTAAATTTGTGTAAAAAGAGAAGAAAAAAAAGAAAAATAATAAAAATTTTAAAATATATATATCAATAAAAAAATTTAAATGGCATAAATTTATAGCTAATAAGATAAGCAACAAAACTATTATTATTAACCTTAATAAATGATAGGGTCACAAAATCTTTTGTTCTTTGTGTCTTGTGCTGCTTGCTTTAGTAAAACCCTTAAAAAAAGTATTTTTTTAACATATTCCACACGAAATATATAATAATTTGGATCGAAATAAATTTAATAAATGTTACTTTAACCCGAAAATATTAAAATAAAATGTTAAAAAAAAAAGATTTTTTATGATTGTGATCAAATGATTGTAAAAAACAAAGTCACCAAATTTTGTTAGTCTCAAGAAGCATGCGTAATTTGCAATAATGTATTTTAAAAAAGAATTGTTTTTATTGAGGGACCAGAATATGTTTGTGATATTTAAACATCGTTAAATGCAATAAAACATAAAATAGATGTAGAACAACGCCATTTATCAACATGTTTTTGCCAACACAAAATGGCGGTTGGCGGCAAAATAACATCATTTTTACATTTTTTATTAATTTTATAGTATATATAATTGAAAAAACAAATTGTCAAACGTGAGAAAAATTATCATTCTCAATGACATATTCATTTAACTCGAATTCAAGTGCCGGATTCCAAAGAGTGAGCCGAAGACAAAATTTTAAATGCAATTGCAAAATCAGCCATTTTTTTTTTAAATCATCGTCATAAAGATATTTATTATAAATAGTTATGGAGAAAAAAAAACTTACCTTATCAGGCCACTTTAACAGAGTTTAAATAAAATATAATATTTACACAATAATTAAATTAAAACACTTTGTGAAAATTATAGCTTGTGTGATTGTATCTATCAACACATGTGCAATTCAAAGCCTTGTAGAATAAGATTGAGATTTTTCAGGGCCCCAAATACATCGTACAAGTTGGAGAGACTGTTTTAAAACAAAGGATTTTATACATTTATGTAAAAAAAATTATTATTATTTTTTTTTTTTTCTCTCTCGTACATAAATCACTAAATTACCATTTATTATGTTTTTATTATTATATATTTAAAAATAATAATAATAATAATAATAATATTTTAAATTTTAATAAGAAAAAATTGATAATTATAAATAACATGGCTGATATTTGAATTGAAATTATTCCGTTTGGTAAAATAATAATTTGCATTCCCATAATATATATATAATATTTAACTTATAAACAATAAAATAACCTAATGAAATTATTTATTATTTATTTATTAAATTATTATTATTTTAAACGAATCGCGATTATTTATTGTTTAATTTAAAAAAAATACATAATTTCAAACGTTTGATTTATTCATCAACAACTTCCGCTTTGAAATTTTCCAAAGTAAGAAAAAAAAAAAACCCTCACAAACACTTTATTAACTTTTGTTTATTTATTTAAAATAAATTAAAATAAATTTATTAATTTAAAAGTTTCATATGAGTATCAGCAACAACATAAATAAATAAATAATTATAATAGATACCTTAAAGTTAAAAAAAAAAAAAAAAAAAAAAAAAATTCAGATAAATTTATTACAATCATAATCAATTCAAAACATTTTTAATTAGGATTATTTTTAATTGCTATTTATGACATAAAATTATTATTATTATTATTATTATTATTATTATTATTATTTTAATGCAAATCAAATCGTTAAGATTTAAAGTAAAAGGCAAAAGAAAAAGAAAATTTGTTTGTTTGTTGGTTGTTGCCTCACATAATGAATACTCATATAATCACAATCACATTAAACAGACAAAATCTCTTCTGATAATAATAATAATAATAATACCTTAAATATACATTATAGGTATTTTTTACATTATTTAAGCTTTTTTTTTTAAATACTTGTCGTTTTAAATACCGCATGATTTGTTATTAAACGCCAATTGATAATATGAAAAATGTCTATTCCCCCTCCCCACAATAATAACTCCAATAAAAATTTTCTTTTTTTTATTTGGGTAGGAGAAACAAAAGGGAAAAAATGTATTAAAGAGTAGTAGTCATTCATTATCATTATTATCTCCTTTTTTTTTTTTAGTTTTAAATTTTAGGGTTATTTAACGGAAAAAAAAAAATAATAATAATAATTTAAGACAATGTAAAATAGGAAATAATTAACATAGTAATAGGCAATGCATATCAGCAAATGTCTTGTTTATAAGTTAGTGACCGCCTACAATCAGTAATCAGTCTTATACACGCTCGTACAAATCGTTTTTTTTTTTTTTCTATTATTATTATTATTATTTTTTTTTTTTTCACGTAATAATTTTCTTCTATAATTATTATTATTAAAGGCAAGAAAATTTTTTATTTTTTTTTATTATTTTTATTTATTTTACTTTATTTTTTTTTTAAATAATTTTTCATAACCGGTTTCTCTTGTTAATAAAATTTTATTAATTTGTCGTTTAATATTATTATTATTATTATTATTATTATTAATTATTAACACGAGTTTGTTATCGATATTTGTTTAGTAGAATTAAGTTTAAAAAGTTTTAAAATTTTATTTTTTGTTTAAAAAAAATTTATTTATAGTCGATAAACTTTGAACTTTTATTATTAATATAAAAAATATTTATTCATAATCGATTGATAAATTATTAGAAAAATTTTTTTTAATAATAATTATTATTATGTATTAGAGAAAATTATTTAAGGTAGTTATTAATTTTTTTTAATAAGAGTGTGGTGGCATTTTATATATATATATATTTACGATTAGTTATTGTTTAAAATAATAATAATAATTTTAAATAAATAAAATTTTCATCGTTTAAATACTTTCTCATCGTTTTTTTTTTTTTGTTACAGGAAACAAAAAATGAAATTATTATTATTATTATTATTAATTTTTCTAACAAATTTAATAAATTTTACTTGGTCTTGGCCTTTTGCTGTTGACATTTCAAACGGATATTCATCATCAAAATGCGGATACGATGTAAGAATTTTTAATTATATTTATTTTTTATAATCCTAAAATTTTCCCTGCATAAAAAAAAACTCATTTATTAGTCATTATATTAATATTATTATTAAATTTGATATTGGTTACAAAATGGAGGGAAATAGGTTAATAAAATTTATCTCATATTAAAAAAAAAAAAAAAAACTGGATAATTTTTTACCTTTGATTGATATTAATTATTTTGTTATTGTTTTCATACCCTATCTTATCTCTCTCTCTCTCTCTCTCTCTCTCTCTATCTATCTATCTATCTCTCTCTCTTATTGACAAAATATTTGACCTGAAATCATTTTTTTTTTTACGTATAGTTTATGATGTACTTTTATTATTTATATAATTATTAATTACCTCCTTTTTTTTATGTGTGTAATAAAGTATCAGGGTTTAATAAATGATGAAAATAAAACAAAAATAT